TTTACTTGCCAAATTAAATTATTTTTATTAAAGCTTTATTATTTCTTTGCAATTTTCAAAGGATCGACGAATGCTTAAAGTTTGATTATTACCTATTATTTGTTATAACTTACAAAGGTTAATTCACACTTTATCAAATTTATTACTTACAAGTTACAACTGTATTTTCTTTTAGCGTTGACCATGGTTTAGATTCAATGGGCTGAGGATCTACGTTTTAAATAACTTATTCTTCTTGTGTCTGAGTACCGGGTGCATCTAAAATTCATGGACTTTTTTTTTTTTTTTTTTTTTTTTTTTTTTTTAACAGGATTGAATTAAGTCCTAAGTGTACTCTTTTGATTAACATTCATTTAAAAGTCTCTAGGTAATTAAATAATTTCCTATATACTTCCAAATCATGTTCACTATAATTTAAAGCCCTAATTAGGTTACAAAACCAACTTGTATAATATTCTATATCTCATTTCTTTCTCTTTAAATTCGGTAGATGACAGTTTTTCAAAAATGATTTTGTTACAAAGAAAAGTGAGACTATATGGTTTCACATTAAGAATACAAGATGATACCTCAATATGAGGGTATATACGTATGCAATTTTATTGAGAGAAATTCCATTAAGAGAACTGACATTGACTATTCACTAATAATGAAAACACATGAATATAAAATACATATAAAAACAATAAATTATTTTCTTTCGACGATTTTTCTCTTCAGTATCTAAGATCACTCACTAATATTAACATTTTAAGTCGACAAAAGATGAAAAAGTTTGCATTTATGCAACGCAATTTGCAGTACATTGATTGAACAATATTCTTTTTTTCAATTTTAAGATCACCAACATCTCTTTCCTTCTTGACAAGTTCTAGTTACATTATTAAAAAGCGTGTTAGGAAGACATTTTACAGGTGTAGCGATACCACCGTCATATCTATAATAGGCATCACAATAGCGATCCTCAAACGGGTAGTTACCATCCTCTACACCCTCACACGACGGAAGCAAACCCATCACATCCTTATCTTTGGGTATAGCATACCGATGTACACATCTGCCTTCATAGGGAAATTCTTCAATTAACCAAATTGGATCATAAGAACAAGACCCTAATTTGACTGTCCGACCATTTTGACATATTTTGAACATATTTGTCACGATACCATCATCTTTTGGATACAATCCATCGGCTTTACCTTCACATTTTGGATATCTCGCATCGCAGGCTACACAAAGTGAAAATTTGCACTGAAGGCGAACGTATCTGCCTGTAAAAAAGAATTTTTTGCAAACTGAAGAAGGTAATCTAGTTTGTTCTAAATTGTATAGTGTTAAAATCAGATAATTAAAATAAATGACATTTACAGTTTTTGTGATTTTTTTTTTCATTCTTTATCATCTCTACTTTGAGGCTTTTTGATTTGCAGTGATTTGCAGCTGCTTTTTGAATAAGAATGGAACTCGTGAATCGACTAATCGTGTCATTGGTCATTTGCAAAATTATTTTTGTTAAAAATATTCTGATTGATCACATAATTACTCTGAAGGTGACATAAAAAGGATGATTGAGTTTCTGATTGACAATATTTTTGTTGTTTTTGGAGATCGGGACTTCTAACAATCTATTGGAATTCCCCTGGGTACCAATTGCATCCTGTTATTAGCAGAACAATTTTTGTATTCATATGAAGCAGAATATGTTCAAATTATTGAACGTGAAATGAAGAAAACACTTAGTGTGGCAACTCCTCATTTAGATATATCGAGGACGTATTGTCAATTTACATTGGTTACAAATATGTATCCATTCTCATATGTCGATAAGATATATCAGTGAGCTTAAGCTAAAAAAAGTACCACATGGTCTGACATATCTGTTTCATTTTTAGATATTTTATTTGAAATATAATTCAAAAGACGTTAATGGTAATCTAACAACCAAGCTCTATGATATACGTGATGACTTTAACTTTTCAATAATAAACTTCCCTTACTTATGCAGTATAATGCCTTCATCCCATGCAGTTGATTCGATACGCAATTCAAGGGTATAGTTTGTATATGTACATTTCTAAAACAAACGATGTTATTGACAAACAAGTTGCAAAAATAAGATCATCAGCTGTCTCGTCTACATTCATTATTTCTTATGGTCGATATAATGACCTTGCAATGAAATACAATTTATCTTTGAGTCAAATGCTGACTGACGTTTTTTCATATTAATTGTCAAACATTACTTACACAACTGTTAACGGATTTTTTTTCGTTATTTCCCGATCATGGCAAGGAGCACACGGCAGGTTTTACCGATAGAACTTGATCCGACCTCTGATGTTTTTGAAGGTCAGTGTTAGCTCCGATCTTATCTTGTATTTTTTTTAAGGAATTTTGAGCTTGGCTATAGTTATCTCCATAGTTTGGAAATGTGTTAGGGAAAGGATTCTTGAATTAACTTTCACTACAATTTAAAAAAAAAAGATAATATTAAAATTTATTTCAAACAAAGGTAACTTGTATGATAGATTGTTAGGAACATGGACAAGGAAACCACCGCCTCCAGGATCTTTTGGATGAAATAAACAAAATATTGTTCAAATTCATTTTGAGATAAAAAACATGAAAGGTTAAATACACTTATCTGTAGATATGAGGATGTTGACTGAAATATGCTACACTTAGACCATATTTCATTTCGTATATCAAATCAAAAGCGGTAGAGGGGTATCTGACAAAAATAAAGGTGCAATGCAACTTTTGCTTCAATGTATTTTCAAGTTATTAAGTGTTGATTTCATTTTTTCATTTACTAGTATCTAAATGAAAACTTCAAGGCTATTAAAATCAGTGAAAATAATTGTTAGAAAGATGAAATTAAAACATTGATAACGGTTCCATACAAGACAAGTCCTGAACATGTATTAGATTATTTTTACATAGATATTATTATGTCGTGGATGTCAAACAGTGGAAATTTTATACCAAAAAATGTCGTTGGAAAAGGTGTCAAGAAGCTGAACGACTTAGCGTCAACAACTGGCATATTTGAACTCATAAAAAGCAGCATAATTTTACACCCAAAGTTGATTAATTATTTTAGAATTAAATGATAAGGAACGACTCTAGTTCTTGGCCAAATTATTCGAGTATAACCTGGTTTGGGTCAGTTTACGCTATTTTTATAATCCGCTTCGCGCCATACCCATGAACGAAAAACTATATATGAAAAGAACATAGCCTTTTTAAAAGCTGTTCAATTATGAAGCATAATAAAGTCTACAAACCTCGCCAGCAGGAGACTGTCAATGAGGGACTGATTACCTTTAAAGGACGAGACAAGGGCAAAAGCTATCACAACCACCAAATTATTGTGAAATGGCTGCTCTTTTTAATTTTTGTTATAGTTTCATGAATAGACCCACTAATTCATGTCTTTCGCGAAATAAGAAATCCAAAAATCTACACTATTACATTGTATATGCATTTTTCTACCGTGAAATCAAATTATCACGAACCAATATGTTTTGCTTAAACTACGAAAATTTTACCGTACCAAAATGTAACTGTAATTTCAAAAATATTTATTCTTATTCCTTTAGGTAAAAATACAACTTTTGATAGATTTTACTCACATCCCCACACTGGTTCATATCTTTTCCCACAGTTAACTTTTGTGTAGTTTTCACACTTCAAAGTTTCCTCTGAAAATAGTTCCGGATAATGACATTCATGCTTATTCCGCGCAGGCCAGACTCCATAAGTACCAGCAAAGGAACTCAAGTAGTAGTCTTCTCCAGAACAGTTGTAATATTGATGACAGTTGTCCGCATCCGCAATAATCAGACTAGGATGTCGCTTACACCAATCAGATATTGTCCGGTCTGAAACGATATATGCTCTCACATGTACATGCTTTTGATTATACAGTAATAGGCGATTGATATCTTAAAATGTTGCAAGTAGAAGTACAGGATTAAGCAGGTGCATTAAAAAAATATGCAGATTTTTTGGTATGACTTTTCCCGATGATTAAAAATATTTGTGTTTAAGTAATATTTTCTACATGTATCTGTTACACCAAGAAATATTAAAAAATGTAATTTTTTTAACTTTATACCTTATATTGTTTTGGAGCTATTGTACGCCTAAAATTTTGGAAATTTTTCCCTTTAGCAATGTGTGATTAAACTTTAAATTTCTATTCTTAAACCACCTTTTATAATTGTGTTACAATTTCAAAAAAGGACTACGATCATTCACTTTCATCTTATTGATAAGAATCCCTAATGCTGACCTTAACATTTTAACCAAAAAATAATAGGCCTAATAGGCCTGAACATTTCAAAACGTTTGCCCAGCATCAAGATTAATAATGAAGGGTCAGCTACTGTCTCCAAAAATTTTTTAACAACACATAAAGGGATGCTGAGAGGCAAATATGGATCACACTACTATTGATACTGTACCATCAGGAAATTTTTTCGATCCATATAGCTTCAGAATATCCATATAAGCGTTATTTATATTTTCTTTCTTTAGAGACTTCTCACTCAAACTGACTTCACACTTTTCTAATGATGTCTGCAAAGTTGACGTTTGGGCTTCAATAAGAAAAGATTGTACATTGTTCTCTGTATCCTTATACAAAATCTGAGAATAGATACACTCAGTTGTTGATAAAATCATCAAAAGAATTTTGAGAGACATATCAAATTCTTTTCTCGTCACAACTACACATCCAAATCACGTCGTTCCTGTTAGGCGAGATATTTATCGATTACAACCGATTGATAAAGGTAAGAAGGAAGTTAAACATTTAGTTCACCAAATAGTCATATATCAAACTCAGAACCGCTAAGATTTAGGGTAACATTCTTACAGATAACCAAGAGATCAATACATTAATCATGAATAAAGAAAACCTAATACACTTTGCTTCGATCTCTTTATGCATAGTTTCAAAGGAATTCTGAACATAATCGCTGTTCGTTATCTTCATTTTTAGTGTAACTGTTTTTGATCATTTTACTAAGATATAAAAAAAGAACCCAAATCAATATAAAGTTTTAAATATCACAGTAACATCGTCGATAATTTCTTAATAACAAACAAAAAAGAACAATTATTTAAAGGTGCATAGACACAGATTTAAAGTTAATATTTTCTCAAATTTTCTGTATTTTATTACGACTTATATATTGCAGGGGCATTGCACAAAAATATAATAAAAACTATATAATATATCATTCGTGATATTATACAGAAAATTTGAGAAAATTTTAACTGCAAATCTGTGTCTATGCACCCTTAAAGATAACATCAATGTTAACATTGTCTCAAATACATTCTGAAAAAATATTAACAACATACATACGGAGTTGGATTTGTTTGATAAAGTAGTTTTACTAGTATTGTTATATGACTGTGAAATATGGGGGTATGAAAATATCGATATTATTGAACGAGTACATTTACGTTATTTAAAACATATACTGAATTTGAAAAGTAGCACTCCGAGTTATATGATTTATGGAGAAACTGGTAGGTTTCCATTACACATAAATATTTACTCAAGAATTATAAAATATTGGGCAAACCTTGTGAATGGAAAAGAAAACAAATTGTGTAGAATAGTATATATGTATTTACGTAAACAACATGATAAAGAGCAAATGAAAAATTCATGGATATCATTTGTACAAAAGATTTTTGATAGATGTGGTTTATCAAATATATGGTATGAGCACGAACATTATTTTTATAATATAGAATGGATAACTGCTACAGTCAAACAGGATTAAAAGATCAATATATTCAAAAGTGGAATAGTGAAGTTCAAGAATCTTCAAAAAGTTTAAATTATAGAATTTTCAAAACCAATTTTGAGTGCGAAAAATATTTAACACTGTTATCATTTAAATTTAGAAAAACTTTTGTTAAGTTTAGAACCACAAATCACCACCTCCCAATTGAAACAGGTAGATGGAATGGTACTCAAAGAAATGAAAGAGTTTGTAGCTTATGCAGTAGTAACCAGATAGGAGATGAGTATCATTATATTTTAGAATGCAGTGCTTTAAACCAACTAAGAAAAGTTTATTTGAACCAAAAATTTTGTTCTAACCCAAATATCATCAAGTTTTGTGAAATCATGTGCCAAAATGATGTTGATTCTTTGAAACAATTATGTACATTTATTTCTAAAATTAATAGTATTGTCTGTTCTCCTTCATTATCACCTTCTGCTTGACCCACTGTATTATATGTATATATGTTTTATATGTTTTTGTACCTCATGTACCATTTACATGGTTTTGAGAGAATAAATTGAATTGAAGAGAGATATACATTGACCAAGAAAAAACGAAGAAAAAAAATTTCAGTGGTCTCAGTTGGGTCATAATTATGAAATATTATGAGATAATAATGAGTCTAAATAAGTACAGTTATCAAAAGTTTTCATAATCGTGTTTCAGGTTTTGTTTTATCAAAAACATCATGTCTAAATACATACCAGTCGATTGACTCAGAAATATGAAATAAGCATTTTCATATGTATTACCTTTATCCAATACTGTAATTTATTCGAAGACATTCATTGTCTACACTTGCACTATCTTGCATTGATTAATTACTTTAAAATAAACAATTTCAAATTACATAGACCAATGTATTGCCTGTCCTACAAGTATAGAAATTTATGCTCCCTCAATGCTTCACAGTTCAGATGTAAATTTGTAGCAATTCATCAGCAATTTTTGAGTTTCTTATTTGAATATAAGATTCTCATAAAGGTTTTTGACAGGAACTATTTTTTTCAGGGCATAGGAGGCTACTTCTAGATGAAATGAAATTTTGATTTCATCCCTATCGGTTTGGCATTTAAAATGCTTGGAATGATTTGAAGAATTACATGTTCTGATCCCATTCCTGAATTTTTAGGAGGTACAGGCCCTTTTCACTAATTTGTATTTTTGCAGATTTTTTTCTTTTTAGATCTACATGTGTATCACTCAAATTATTTATCTGCACCTTTTTCATTTCTTCTTTATGTTGAATGATCTTGTAAAGGATAAGCTAAGTAAAATAAGAACGTATGGAGTGTTCCCTGTGGAAATTGACCTTTGAAATATTTCAATCGACAATTAATTTAGGAAACATCGCCAAAATCTGAACATTTGACTTTCAATACTGTTTGATCACAATTATATTCATGTTTCATACGCATTGTTAGGCCATTATTTAAACAATTAATTGTCTACTGATTTTTTCGTTTACCTGCTCGTAACAAGAAGCATACGGACAAACAGCTTTTGTGACCTGTCGACAAGAGATGTTTACTCCTTTACGTCACCTTATCCCGCCCCTTGCCCCTGGTGCTCTTAGAGGTCTTTGTTTGCTCTACTCCTCTGATATGATTGTCGATGTGAAAAAAATATATATTTCCAAGAAAGAAGTCAGAAAATATTTTTTTTTATTTACTTCGCGGGGACGGGTATTGTAATGAAACTTCGATTCACTTAATTAGGGACTCAATGAATGCTTATATGATATGTATTTGTTATCGTGTACGATTATAGGCTGAAAGAAATATATTTAAAAATATTTTGAAAAAGTGAGAGGAGAGACATCAATAATATTAGATTCATAGGAAGCTATTATACCAATAACCACTTTTGAATAGGGGGAGTCAAGAGTATCTTTGTGCCCCTCATTCTGCTTTTTTTAAAAATCCTGAGCACAGTAGAGATCCTCAAATATTTTCAAAATAAAGAAGAATGCTTTTCGAAATTATTTCAACAAACATACTGACTTCTTTCAGTACTTTACTAATATGATTATTTATCTTGTATCAATCGATAATTGAAAATCAATATAATATTTCAGTCGATAAAACTTAAAGCAATAAATATTTATTTAACAAAAAAGTTACATTTAATTATGTAAAAACATCTCAAAGTATTACAAATACAATTTATCATTGAGTAAATTGCTGAATACCAATTGTTAGTCCATTATTTATACACTGAATTGACGACGGATTTTTCCGTTATTTCCCGATCATGAAAATGAGCACACGGCGGGTGTGACTGGTCAGCAGGGGATGCTCACTCCTCCATGGCACCTGATCCCACCTCTGATGTTTCGGAGGTCCGTGTTTGCTCTACTCCTATTTTGTATTGTTTTATGGACTTTTATATTGAATACTGTTCGTTATCTCCATATCCTTCTTCATGATGCTAAAACTAATGTGTCATAAGTGAATAGAGGGACTTCTCGTAGAGTAAACGATAAGCCAAGAATAATATTCAATTTCATCAAAATGAGACATCTAATTTTACTTTTCTTTCCTGTCTTTGGTGACAAAACGGACACAAACTTTAAATTTTTTGCATTAAGTATGTGAGTAAAATAACCAACATTATATCCAAAATTATTGGTAAAAACAAGAAATGAAGGAATAAAAAATAATTTCCGTTCTTATGAAGAAAGTGGAAGATGAAACTTTCATAAAAGCTCGAGTTTATATCCATGGTACAAGCTTGGATAATTTTAAATTTGTGATCTTTGCTAGGAAACTGAAACGTCAAAACCCTTTTCAATGGCATACCAGAACCCCAAACTAACGACAGAGACAAAAGACTCAAATGAATTACAAAAAAAATTCCAAACAATGGCTTCAAGTTCCACAACCTCCATTTCAAAGGAAATGCAACGATCATATACAGTGGACCTTCAGATATCCGGACGCCAGATATCCGGATGCTTCAGTTTCCTGACGATTTTTTATCGGAACGGAATTTTTTAATGGTATGTTGTCTTGCTTAACTGGTGATTCAGGTATCCGGACGCTTCACATATCCTGACAAATTGACTGGGAACCAAAGCGTCCGGATAAATGAGGCTCCACTGTATTGAGAAAAGGACATGAAGCACTCGATCCGAATCGATGTTCCATGAAGATTACTTTGCAAGTAAAAAAAGAAGTGAGTACGAATCGGCAGATTCTGTATTCTATATATCCATAATCCATTTTTAGAAATGTCAGAGCACCATCTCGAATTCCGTTTAGAAGCGTGATGAGAAGGTTCAGCAGCATAATGGCGACCAGGTACTTTTGTGTGTAGCTAAAGAGCTTTGCTTTCTTGAAAACAACAAATACTATGATGGTGACGATCAGCGGAAGAAGCTACAAATATGGAGTGAGCATAATA